GAAAACTCCATGTCATTCTTTGTGTGATGTACCATATTTTCCCACCCACTCAATGAGGCAGGCAGGCAGGCAGGCAGGCAGGCAGGCAAGCAGGTCATATTATAGCTGCGAAGACAGGGTTGCAGAGACTAAGTGACATGGCCAACAATCTTGCTAGTGGTGGAGTCGGGAGCATGAGTCTCCTAACACAAACTTTAATAAGTTCACGTGCTACTTGGTCTGTAAGTGGGTCTACTTTTCATTTAGTCGTGCTCTGTAGTGATCTTAATTAACAGTGTTGGATGTGTTACGGTGCTTGGCTGCTTTTATGACAAATTTTCAAAATTTTAAAAATGACACATGTATGCTCTAGAAAATACAGATAAGCAAAAAGAAGTGGGAAATCATTTATAGTTCCACCATACAGCTAACCTTTTTTTGTATTTCCTTCCACTCCATCTCTCCAAAATATACATGTATAAATCTAAAAATGTTAAAATGAAACTGTGAGCCAATCTATGCTACTCATTTGCTCTTTCTAAAGCATCAGTTTGACATAAGTTAGAATATAAAAGCCAGATGATTTACTCTAGAACATATATTTTTGTCGTTCTTACTTTTCTTAATATGGTCCTAGTGTTTCCTATACCTAAATATACAGATTGGCCTTACTGAGTTTAATAGTAAAAGTTGACGTGGCATCGTTAGTTGCCAGCTACCATTCTAAGTGCTTTATTTACATTAGTGCATGTAGTCTTTGTAACACCCCAAAAACAAAGTTTCAAATTTTATGCCCCTTTTAAAAATGGGGTTGCTGAGGCACAGAAAGGCCCTGGCATTTGTCCAAGGTCAAGCAGGTGGTGGTGGCATGGCCAGGTTTGATGGCTGTGTTCTTAACCACTGTGCTAAGCTGCCTTGAAGCAGAAAAGCTTCATGTGAATAAAGGAATAAAAGCCAAAACTAAGTGGAAGGGTGGTGTAGAGAGCAGCAGCCCTGCCAGGTGTGGTCTCCGTAATCAGTGTCTCTTCAGTGTCTCTTCTGCTCTGGTTAATTGCAGGTTTCCGGTGTCCATTGGGTTTTTGAATGTGGAGGTTGTCCCCACCTGAGACTTGATGGTAGAGTGCTTCTGTAAGACAAAGATTGAGAAATGCCTTGGTTTTTACAGGCTGAGCTTTTAAAATCCCTATTTCTTTCCACTCTTCCCCTATTCAGAATTTCTGAACCAACAGCATGACATTCATTTTTGTTGTAAAACTGGGAAGAGAGGTAATAGACTAATATAATGTTGCTGCTGAGAGAGAGACAGAGTCTTGACTTAAGTCTTAAGAATGTTGATCTTAATGAAGCCATTGGGAGGCATCACCACAGCCATTCCAGAGAAATAAGGAAGAGTTGTGGTCGATGGCCAGGATCGTGTGTCTTGTCAGACTATTCTTTTAATAAATTATAACAAGAGGGCATCGATATATTTTCAATGCTTTAAAATTTCAGACAAACATAGAAATAGAGAAATCTTTAAAATGAACCCCATGTACTCAATATTTACCAACATGTTGCCATTGACTGTATTTTTTCTTGCTCTCAATTTCTCTTACAATTTTTCTTTGGCATTTTCTTTGGAGTTGCAGTTAAATAGATTTTTGAATTGGGAGGAGTATAGAATCAATCATCTTGGATTATGATTCTGGGATTTGTGAAGAAGCCTGGAAAGGAATGTACCAAAATGTTAGCTGTGGGCAGTGAAGGTCTAGGTGATTTTTTTAAAAACCCTTTCCTATTTTTCTTTATTAATTGTTTTGTTTCAGGGGGTGCTCACGTCCCCATATTTTAGAATGTTTATAAGGAGACTCTAGATTGCTTTATAAAAATCACATTGAAATGTAGCTGGGCTTCACTGGCCAAGATGTTCATCAGAGATTTGTCCTCCATCTAATTTTCCAAGTGTTAATTGCTAGGTAGTATAAATTGGCTTAAAAAGAAGAGAAAAGGAAACTGAGGTATCTGTAAAGAGCTGGCCTGTGTTGGTTTACCTTACAGTTTATGCATCTTTTTGTTCCTGTGTTCAAGGTGACTGCTGAGGTTGGAAAGCTCTTGGGCAATGAGAAGGTGGATGCAATTCTTTGCGTGGCTGGAGGATGGGCCGGAGGCAATGCCAAATCCAAGTGTGAGTCCCCTCCTGAGTTAATCATTCATGCCGCTCTGCTCTTTGTCCAGCTGACAGGGATCGGGTATAGACTAGGGGTCAGGCCAACTGTTTTTCTGTGCATCTCCCAGAAACTTTACAATATCTCTGTGACCTAGCGATTAACTCCGCCATTTTACAGATGAAGCAGAAACTTCCCATGGAGGTGCTGAGCAGAGGAGGACATTGAGTTTGAAGTTTCAGGTGGAGGCAGAATGAAATCAGCATGGTTTCTACCCGAGCCCAAAGGCTTATGTAGGCACTGGGGGATGTGTAGGAATTGGAGTTGGAGAGATGGTTCCAAAGGTCAAAAGAACTCAAAATTGCGCTTTTACTAAAGCTGATTACGTTTTTCAACTTTTTATTATAAGCATTTTTAAACATACTAGAAAAGTTGAAAGAACAGTTAATGAACACCCTTCCACCCTTGATCTAGATTCAGTAATTGTTAATGTTTATTAACAATTGTTAACGTTTGTTAATGTTTGTTAACTTGAGCTCTCTTGCTTTCTTGAGTGTGTGCACTTCGTGTATTGTTTGGTTAACCTTCTGAAAGTAGATTGACGCTTCACCATATTTCAGCAAGCATCTCCCAAGAATAAGCCCATTCTCCTACATTATCATGAAACTGTTATACCTAAGAAAATCAGCAGTAATCCTGTAAGGTTAATAATATTCAGTCCATATTCCCTGTTTATACTTGTCTTTTTCCCTAGACATATTCCACTCAAAGTTTATACACTGCATATTATGTTGTTGTAGTTTTTAGTCTCTTAATCTAGAATTTTTCCCCCCGTGATAGGACTTTTTGGTGCGTCCCAGGCAGTTTTCATATAGAATGTCTCACATTCTGAATTTGTCTGAACAGTTCTTTTTAAGGTATTATTTGACTTGTTCCTCTAGCCCTGGTATTTTCTGTGAATTGGAATTTAGGTCCAGGGACTTGATTAGATCCAGATTAAATAGTTTTGAGGCTACACTTCTTTCCGAGTGATGGTGTGTACTCTGTATTACGTCACACTGGAAGCTCAGCATGTCAGATTCCTCTACCCCTGGAGATGCTGAATCAGATGTTTGGTTGAAGTGGTAACTGCCAGACTTTCATTGTAAAGCCACATTTTTCTGTTTGCAATAATAAGTAAGTGTCTGTGGGATGACACTTTGGTATCTGTGTAAATATCCTAGTCTCCAAATACTTTCACCCAGTGGTTTTGAGCATCCATTGATAATCCCTGCCTGACACAGTTACTGTATTGGGGGTTGGAAAATGATAGTTTTCTAATTTTACCATCCCTTCCACATTTATTAGCCAAAGGCATTTAAAAAGAAATTGAAATTCTGTGAACTACACTTAAGATTGGTGTTTTGTGGAATCAGGTTGGAAAAAAGCCTGGTAACCTTTTCGTGTATTTTGGGAGCAAGAGATGGTAACTGTGGATCAATCAATTTTTTTGCTAGTCTTTTTTAGCAAGGAAATGCAATACCTTGGTTCTTTCCTACTGACCCCTGCTCCTATATCAGGAGGCCATTCTTTCTGGGTTTTTTTTTTTTTTTTTTGAGACAGAGTCTTGCTCTGTTTGCCGGGCTAGAGTGCCATGGCATCAGCCTAGCTCACGGCAGCCTCAAACTCCTGGGCTCAACCGCTCCTCTAGCCTCAGCCTCCCAAGTAGCTGGGACTACAGGACTATAGGCATGAGTGACCATGTCCAGCTGATCTTTTCTATTTTTAGTAGAGACAGGGTCTCGCTCTTGTTCAGGCTGCTCTCGAAACTCCTGACCTCAAGTGATCCTCCCTCCTCGGTCTCCCAGAGTATTAGGATTACAGGGTGTGAGCCACCGTGCCTGGCCGGCCATTCTTTCTGTATCAAGGGGTTCCACGTGCCCTGTGAGTTCCCCAGTCGATGGAGTCATGTATGTTACCGCTTGTTCTTCCTTATGTTTCTGGCAAGACCAGAAGTTAAAACAAGTGTGAAACGGTTATTTCAGCTCTCTTTTTAAAGAGTCTTTAAAGCTGATGTTAAACTTTCAACCATAAAAAATGTAGCTCTGTAAAAGCCCTCTTTATGGCCATATAGTAATAGTCCCTTGGATATTTATCATGGGGAAAACCTGATGTATTAAATAGACATATAGGTTCTTATTACAAATCTTATCCTTCATAGAGTAAAACAATCTTTGAATTAAAGCCAGTGTAGCAAATCAGTTAACTCCAGATTTATTTGCTAAAAGTTATTGGCTAAAATTTTACCAGTTTACAGGTAAGGAAGCTGAGACTCAGGGGATCATATGGCCTGGATTTGTACCCGTGTCTGTCTGACCACCGAGCCCTGTGCTGTTTGTATTAGAGCTTTCTGTAGACAGGGACCTGGGGACCCAGGGAGCAGGAGGGCCTGAGGGGGCTTCCTTGAGTGTAGGGCTGTGTGTGTTGAGCTTGCCTTTTGGTTTCTTTCCTGGGAATGCTTAGCCCACATATTTTCTCACTCAGCTCTCTTTAAAAACTGTGACCTGATGTGGAAGCAGAGCGTGTGGACGTCGACCATCTCCAGCCACCTGGCTACCAAGCACCTCAAGGAAGGAGGCCTCCTGACCTTGGCTGGTGCAAAGGCTGCCCTGGATGGGACTCCTGGTAAGCCTTTATTTCCCCGTCTGTGAAATGGGAAAGCTCACCTTGCTTACATGGACTCCTGGGCTCTTTTGTGGGATGAGGTCTACTAAAGCCCTTTGCCCTCTGAGGTGTTTTACGGATGGATAGATTTTGCTTCCTTTAAAGCCTGAATCTTTTTAGAGAGAGGAGTTCTGATTCCTTCATTTGTATCTGTACTCATGTTCATGGTGGTTAAGGAACTCTACAGTCTGGTACTTCCCCCATCTGGTTAATTTATCCATGATCCACCCAGGAGTGAATGGTGTAATATTAATAGATGTTAATTAGTTAATAAACATGCATTATTATTATTATCACATTGTATCCAAGTGTCCCAGGGAAGCAGCTTGGCAGCTGGAAATGGCGTAGGCTTTAGAATAGGAGAGGCTGGAGGTGGATTCTTCACCTTAGGTGTGTGGCCTTGAGCCAAGAGATTCTTTGATCTCTCTGACCAAATTTCTGCTATAGTTTCCTTAATTGTGAAATAATGACATAATATCTAACTTGAAGAGTAGCCGTAAAGCCGTAGAGGTCTCGATGTGTAGAAAGTGCCCACCACATGGCAGGTACCAATAAATGGTAGGTCTTACTGTATTCATAGTAAGCGGTAGGTCTTATTGTACTCACTGTTTAAATTTTACATACATTTTCATTTAATGCTGAGGTCAGCATCATTATTATCTTTTTCAATTTATACTTTAGGAAACTAAAACTTAGAGAGTTAAGGAACATGTCTGGGTTTATACAGTAAGTAAGTTGCAAACTTACTTTGAGTCAAAACCCTGATCATGTCCAAATTGTATGCTTTTCCCATTACCTCGTGAAGACTCAAGTTTCCTTTGCATTTGTTACTCCCTGTGTTAGTTTGCTAGGTCTGCCACAGACTGGGTGGCTTAAACAACAGAAATTTATTTTCTCACGGTTCTGAAGGCTAAAAGTCCAAGATCAAAGTGTTGGTTCCTTCAAGTGGTTCCTTTCTCCTTGGCCTCTAGATGGCTGCCTTCTCCCCGTCTTCAGATGGTCTCCCCTCTGTGCATGACTGTGTCCTCATTTCCTCCTCTTATAAGGACACAGGTCATTCTGGATTAGGGCCTCCCTGATGAACTCATTTTAACTGAATTGCGTCTTTAAAGATCATATCTTCAAATACAGTCACATTCTGGGATACTGGGGGTTAGGCCTTCAACCTGTGAATTTTGGGGGTATACATTTCAGCCCATGCCCCTCCCTTTGGGATAGGGCTAAAGGTATTTTAGCGAGGGATTGAGGGGACAGCAGAGAGAAGCAGAAAGTGTCTACCTCCACTACCTAATTTAAACTCTTCTTTAAAAAAATGGGAGCTCTTTTTGGACCTCTTTGGTAAGTGGTAGAGACTCTGGACACCTTCTCAATTTTTTTTTTTGTTTTTTTGAAACAGGGTCTCACCATGTTGCCCATGCTGGTCTGGGACTCCTGGGCACAGGTGATCTTCCTGCCTCAGCCTCCCTAATGGCTATGACTACAGGCATGTGCCATTGCACCTGGCTCCACCTTCTCAATTTTACTGTAACTCACTGAACTGTGAGGCTCTGACTTATTAACAATTTCTTGCCGCTCATTTTCTTCTTCCATTTCTTAAAGCATGTGATTTTATAAGTGCATGGCCATTGCAGTAATTAAAGCTATGTAAATGTTAGGTGTCTGTCTAGTTGAGATCTGATTTTTGTCAAAGCTGACACAGAGCGGAGACACTAGAAAGTAAATACAGAAATGAATCACAGCTTGACATTTAAAAAACAAAACCCTAGGACTGAAAGACTAATTTTCCTAAAGGACTAAACAGTTTCCTCCTTTCCTTTGGTTTGTAAGTATCCTTCTTGGTTTACATTTTTGGATAGTGATTAAGGGCTGCAGGCTCTGGAACCATATGGGGTGGTCTTCTGTTGGGGCTCTGCCACTTCCTGTGACACATTTGGCAAATTACTTAACCTCTCTGAGCCTCTGTTTTGTCATCTGTAAAATGAGGATAAGTAATGATGTCTCCTTTATATGGTGGTTTTGCCTCGTAAATTTCTTAGTGAATGTAAATGGCCTAGAAATGTGTTACAGAGTCAACAGTAAATGTGAACTATTATTATTGTTTACTCCACACTTATTTTTGCCCTCCAACTTCTGCCTTAGACATTAATAAGTTTGTTCATCTTTAAAATCCCAGGTTAGATTTGTTAAACTAATTTGAGTCATGAGATCTTTAACTTTGCTGCAGACTCCAGCAAAATCTGGGAAATTGATCTATAATTTGAAAGCAAACAATCAATCAGGCTGAATAGTCCCTCAAATCCAAGTCGATCTGTTCAAAAATGAAAAGTTTTTCACTCAGGAAGGTACTGAGAAAACCCTCACCCTCTAATTTCCAAGGTTGTATTTGTAGACTGTCTTCCGTGGGATGAACTGTATTAAAATGATGGTGATTACTTTTTTTACCAATACAGCATCTGCGTTCTGTGATTAGAAATCAGTTTTTAGGGACCACACTGATCATTTTATAATTCGGAAGTGTTTACCTTCTTAGTAAAATAATTTTTTTTTTATGTCTTGCAAATGATCTTCCTACCCATATGTGTGCCCAAGGAAGATGTCATTCTGTTGGATTAAGCCGTTAGGGTTGCTGGTTGCTTGTTTCTTTTCCTTCCTCAGATTCCAGGCTCTTGTGCTGTTCAGTTGGAATGAAGAGAGAGCCCTGGGTCTTTGCTGAGGACCGGGGCTGGATTAATGAACATTTATGCCCTGGTTTATTTAATCACTGAAGAGTTTGTTATCTTTTTATTCTACTATTGGCTTCCTGCCCTCTGATTAAACAGAGAAGCCAGGGATGGTGAAATGTTCTTCTTATGCTTCTAAATAACTTTTTGAGGCCTTGACTCTCTTTTGCAATTTGAGGTTGTTGATGCAGTTTTGTGATTGGTTCCTTGGCTTGGCTGTGATCCCCACATCTCCCCCTGGACTTGTGATGCCTCCACAGCTATTGTACTTTCAACAGCATGTGAGCTGGCGGTTTGAGGGAGGCTGCTAGCCTCTAGAAGAAATAGCGGTTCAGAAGGAGGAGAGGTTTACGGTGATTATCCATTCCTTTCTTATTGCTGTGATAGCGGCATTTAGTGAGCAGCTGCAGTGGCGTGTCCAGCGGGGAACACAAAGAGGACAGAGACCCCATCCTGCCATGTGCCTATGGTGTCTATGGGGTAGATGGAAACATACCCTAATGAAAGTCATCCCTTGCTTCAATCAGTAAATATTCATTGAATAGTGGGAGGAAAGGAAGACTAATAGGTAGCATGTATATGTATGTCAAAGTTTGCTCAAATGGTACACCTTAAACATGTTGAAGTTTGTTGTATTTCAATTGTACCTCTGTAAATGTTTTAAAAAGATAGAAATATTTTTACGGATTTACCTCTTAGGTGCTAGGCTTATTGGGCCAAGCCCTGTATATGCTTATTTTGTCACCAGAGGTACTTGTAAAGTAGGTGCTGTCATTGTCCCTTGATTACAGAGAAGAAAACCAGAGTCCAGTGATTTTAGGTGACTTGTCTGAGACCACCGGGCTAGTTAGCAGCAGATTGGTCTGAATGATGAATTGACTGATTGACTCAGTGATCGTGTTAAGTGCCTTCTCTGGCAGCAGAGGTGCAAAAGACCGTGCTGAATTACGGTCTAAGCAAAATGCACTGTGGGAGCAGAAGGGAGAGGTGATTCCATGTCTGGGAAGGTTTTGTGGAAGGAGCTGATTCGAGCAGGGTCTCGTGAAAGGATAGGTAGGACTTTGACAAGTAGAGCTTAAGGGAAAAGGTGAGAGGCAATGAATTATTTTTTACTTAAATGATTTTTTTAATTGGTTTTTGAATTGTGAAACTAACCAGTACATGTAGTAAAAGTTCACATGGTGCTAAAAGAATTACAATGAATAGCAAGACTCACCCCTGTGGAAACCCTGGTCCGAGCGGCACTGCCTCCTGGGCCCAGCCACAGTTAAGGCTTCTCATGTGTCCTTCTGGAAGTATTCTGTGTGTGTTCTAGTGTGCGCACACATCACACTTATTTGTATATTTACCTGTTTTAACATTCTTCCTGGCCCAGTCACTGGGAGAACATCTCCCAGGCGAGGTGCTTAGCAAAGCCCCTCATGCACCAGGCAGGGCTCCCCTGTCCAGTCAGATCCTGTGTACCTCCCATGGTTTCCAAGGCCCTTTCCTGGATACGGTCTCCTTTGATCCTCAGCACAGCCTTGAGAATAAATGAGGATCTGAGCTACTGATGCAGGGGGTGCCCCAAAGAAGGGAGGAAGGCTCCCTGAACTCGCAAAGTGGGTTTTTGGCTTTGCATTGGAAAGAATTTTAGAGAGAATTAACTAGTGACAGAAAGTTTATTGAGATAGAGACAGACAACAGATCCTACTCCATTGATAGAATAGGGGTCCTTTCCCAAGCAGGAGGGGGATCCCTTACTGGGCAATGGTAACATTTTTAAATGTTCAAAAACCCCATTAGGAAGCAGCTGTATGTGGCCAGCATTTTCTGTGGTCAGGCCGTAAAGGTTAATCGTAAACTGCTGTCACAGAAAGGCAAGCACACACTGTTTGTAAGGCATCCAGCTTAGTAATTCGTTCATCCTCGGGTGGTCCCGACCCGCAACTTGCTGACGACTTCCTGTTCAGGGTGGTCAGGGTCTGGTGTGGGCCAGGATGGCTGCACCCAGGCTCTCTCCTTCCTTTCCTGCCTTATCCCTGCATTATTGCCACTGCCATTTACGGGCACGGGGAATCTTTGATTTTTCTGGTAGTTGGTAAAGCAGGAATTAGAGCCCCCACTTTCTGAATTTCATGCTCAAGACACTTCCACTGTTCCTTAGTGCCATCTGAGGAAAAGGATTGCCAGTGACGCCACCAAAGTCGTGAATGACAGCTATGACCAGGATTAACCGCTCAGCATTCAGCGCTCAGCACTGTGCTAAGGGCTTTTACGGTATTTTATTTGATCCTTATATTACCCTTAGGATTTGGGGTTGTCACTCCCATTTTATGGAATGGAAAACCAAGGATCCCAAGGTTAAGTAGCCTTGCCCAGAGTCAGTCAGCTCTCAAGCAATGGAACCTGGACAGGTAGCCAAGTAGTTGGATTTTAGGGCATGTTACTGTCAAGGGGAAGGAAGCCAAACTCTGTAAAACAAATTTTTTTTTTTTTTTGAGACCGAGTCTCACTCTTTTGCCCGGGCTAGAGTGAGTGCTGTGGCGTCAGCCTAGCTCACAGCAACCTCCAACTCCTGGGCTCAAGTGATCCTCCTGCCTCAGCCTCCCGAGCAGTTGGGACTACAGGCGTGCGCCACCATGCCCGGCTAATTTTTTCTATATATTTTTAGTTGTCCAGTTAATTTCTTTCTAATTTTTTAGTGGAGACGGGGTCTCACTCTTGCTCAGGCTGGTTTCGAACTCCTGAGCTCAAACAATCCGCCTGCCTCGGCCTCCCAGAGTGCTGGGATTACAGGCGTGAGCCACGGCGCCCGGCCTGTAAAACAAATATAAAGAGGTTTTTATTCTGAGCCAAATTTGAGGACCATGGCCTGGAGCCATGCTTAAGAAGGCTTGAGCAAGTGGACTCGGTGTGGCTGGGTTACAGGTTGGTTTTATACATTTCAGGGAGACAGGAGTTATAGGTAAAGTCATAAATCAATACACGGAAGGCGTACATTGGTTTGGCCGGAAAAGGTGGGATATCTCAAAGCCGAGGCTTACAAATCATAAGTGGATTTAGGGATTCTTTAGTTGACAATTGGCTGAAAGAGTTAGGCTTTTCCAAAAAACCAGGAATCAGCAGAAAGGAACACTTGAGTTAACCTAAGAAGGGTGTTCTATCTTTTACGTGATGCTATACCGGATTCAGGTTGGGAAGTAAACCACATCATAGAAACCTGTTTACTGAGATTTTATCATTTGTAGGCGTGATTTACCAGGACCCCTTGGAAAGGAAATTGTTGGGTAAAAAAAAGATCAGAGTTCAGTCCTCATTACTTCTATTAATTTGATGGGAAACATTGATTGAGTGCCTACCCTATGCCAAGGATATATCCAGAATTCAATACTTTGTCCTCCTGTGCCAGAATAAGAAATGTATTTGGTCTTTTTCTCTGGTTCCTGGTTCAGAGCTTCTAAAATCTTTGGAATTTCCTGAGTGAGGGGAGGGTCCTTTGTATTGCACAATGAGCCCCTTTGGATCACCCTTGATTTATGCTACTGAGGTGACTTAGGGGAGGGCCCCTAGATAGCCTCAGGATGGGTCTGCTCTCTTGGAGGACCAGGTGGTAAGAGGGTTGGAACTGGAAGGGAAGGGGGGCTGGAGATTAAGCCCAGTAAAAGCACGTGATGAGCATCTGGGTTGGCGAGCACTTGGCGGTGCTGGCAGAGTGTCGTGCGGGAGAGGGGTGTGCCTGGAGAGGGCACGGCAGCTCCGTGGCCACCCCCTTCCTTAATCTGCCTGTGCATCTTTCCACCTGGCTGTTCCAGAGTTGTTTATAATAAACAAGTAAATGTAAGAAAAGTGTTTGCCTGAGTTCTGTGAGCCATTCAAGCTCATTATTGAAACTGAAGAGGGTTCAGTAATTGAATATTGAATCTGAAGACGGTGAGAAGCCCTGATTTAGAGCCGGTTGGTCGGAAGTACAGGTATCCAGGGACTTGTGCCTGGGGTCTGAAGTAGGGGCAGCCTTGTGGGACTGGGCCCTGAAATCTGTCAATGTGACACTAACTACCCGGAGTTGGAACTGAATTGTTGGATGCCCAGTTGGTGTCTAGAGAATTAGAGAATTTGGTTGTTAGTGTTGGAAAACAGCCCAAGCCCATTTTACAGATGAGCAACTGAGAATTAGAGAGATTTAGGGAATTTGCCTAGGATTTCTTTAGCGGTAAGTTGAGGAGCTGGGAGTTGAACGTGTGCAGCTTGACTCCAAAGCCTGCTCTCCAAGTGACTGCTCATGTTGCTGTCCCATTGAGCACCCCTGTGTGCAGGGTGCACATAAGCAGTTAGCGATAGAAGGGTTCTGAACCCAGTTCTTGCCTGGGCCTTAACCTCGTGATCGGCTCGGGTACAAGTCTGTGTGTGAGCCTGGGCACATCACTCAACCTGTCTGAGCCTTGCTTTCCTAAGAATAAAAATAAGATCAATCTCATGGCTTTTGTGATAAATGTGGTAGGTGAGTGGTCAGTACACCTGAAATGTCATGTCCCTTCCACTTTCCTTCCGTAAATGTCCATCCTTCTTTTCTTCCTGGCTTCCTCTAGACCCTGAAATGCTGTACTTCGGACACACTGGTGGCCTCTGTGACGCCTGTGTTCGTGGAAACTGGCCAGAGGCCACTGCCTCTGCCCACCTGTCCCCACTCCCTCTTTCTCTTTGCTCACTGTCATTTTTTGGTGGGGGGTGGTCAGGGTGTCCTGCCTGAAGGAAGAGGCCAGGTGCAGCTGTTTGTAAGTTTTCAAGGAACAGAGATGCTCAGAAGAAGGTTGCATGTCCTTGCTGTCCCTCTGGCAGCCAGTGGTCACCGAGCTGTCTTCTCCCCATTTCCCAGGGATGATCGGATATGGCATGGCCAAGGGCGCCGTCCACCAGCTCTGCCAGAGCCTCGCCGGGAAGAACAGCGGCCTGCCGCCAGGGTCTGCCGCAGTCGCGGTGCTCCCGTAAGTGTTTGGGGGTCTCCCAGCAGCTGCTCACCTCTGCCCCACTGTCAAGGGTTAACGTTTATCTGAAAGTCACCTTCCATTAGGGACTTGTGTGTGCTATCACCTCGGCTCTGAAATTCACCGAAGGCCCTTAGGATACTTGTCTTAGACTGTGCTGCTTTACAGAATACCTTAGACTGGGTAATTTACGAACAGCAGAAATTTATTGCTCACAGTTCTGGAGGCTGGGAAGTCCAACATCAAGGCGCCAGCAGATTGGGTGTCTGATGAGGGCCCCTTCCTCTACAGAAGGCGTCTTCTGTATGTCCTCACGTGACAGAAGGGGCAAAAGGGCTCCCTCCAGCCTCTTTTGCAAGGGCACGAATCCCATTCATGAGGGCAGAGCCTCATGACCTGTAGCTCTTAAAGGCCTCACCTCTTAACACTATCACATTACAAACCGTGTTCTGCATATGAACTTGGGGAGGACATGCTTAGGCCATAGCAATACTCATTCAGGATTTGGATTATCCTGGGCTGTCTAGAGTGGTTGGTTGGCTGGGGGAATGGGTCTGTCTTTTTTGCCTGTTTCTTTCTTTCCCTTTTTTTTCTCCCACCCTCCTTACTTCCTTTAAAAGTAGTTTACACATTTTATTTTATTTTATGTGGTTCTGTCTTTCAAGTCATCATAAAGTCTGTGTGTGTGTGTTGGGGGGCATGGTGGCAGTTTGGGGGAAGGTGTGTGGGAGAACATGGGAAGCTGTGGGGGGCGTTTCTATCTGTGATCAGGAGTCCCCCATCAGCTGTTCCAGGTGGAGGCAGCTTGTTTGGAGGGACAGCATTCCTTCTCGCTGGAAGGATCCCAGCCCGAGTGGGCTTATCTCTTGCCTATGGTCCTATAAAGGGACATTGGGAACGCCCTTGGGAAATTCATACCTGAATTCATACATATATGAATTCTATAGTCTCTTGCTGAAAATTTTAAGGTTTTATGGAAAATAGCCACATATTTAAACATTTAATATTCTAATATTCCCATATTTAAAGGAATATTATTACATTCAGATCCTTAGAAATGAGTCTGCTGTATGTTAGGGAGTGAATGAGGACTTAACAACAAACCAATTTACTTCAATAAAGACTGTATTTTTAAAAAAGGCAAAATGTATCTCTTTCCATCTTGTTCTTGTCTTGCCTGAAGGGTGAGTCACAAAGTGTTTTATTAAATTATGCACAGATGTGGTCTTTGTCAATGTGGACAGCTTCCCGGTCTCTTTCTGCTTATCTTCCTGTCTGATCTTTCCACGTAAATGTCATGCTTGGTGCCAGAGGCTCACACTGGTCACGCTGTATGTTTACGTTTTCCTGGCCAAGGAGGACGGGCACCTGTTATTATAAAGGTGATGCACAAATGACAGGCTTATCTGTGTGCATTGCAGGGTCACCTTGGACACGCCGATGAACAGGAAAGCAATGCCAGAGGGGGACTTCAGCTCCTGGACACCCTTAGAATTCCTAGTCGAGTGAGTATTACAGTCATGTCAGTGACTAAGCAGCTTCCAGCCCCTGTTCTCTGCCCACTGTGGCCTAGAGGATGAGCCCGGCTCTTGGATTATCAACTCGGGTGGTCTTGAGAGGTTTCTGGGCCTCTGAGGATATACGGTGGCACATCAATTGGAGTCTCGGGGTAGCTGAACTTGGAGACGGGCAACAGAGTGGAGGGGTCCATAGTGCCGACATGAATCCTGCCTCCATCACTCACCAGGCGGCCACACTGAGCTCTAGGCCTCAGTTTCCCCGTCTGTATAATGAAGTCCGTAACAGTCGTTGGGAGGATTAAATGTGGTAGTGTGTGCTAAGCGCTTGGCACGACGTTTGACCCATAGCCAGTGCTCTGTGAACCTCAGCTCCTCTTCATGTCATTATCCCTGCAAGGAGGAGTGGCTGTGTGGGAGGAGTAGGACACTAGGGGGAAGGTCTGGGGACCCCGTGTCTGGGTCAGTGCTGAGCCACAGACCCACAGACAGTAGGCTTTGTTTTCAAAGCCCTATTTGCCGGTTTGTGAATATGGGTGGCATTTGAAAACTCACCGGAGAAAGAATTGATTTACTGTTTTGTGTTTGCCTAGATGCCAGTTCCCCAAGCCCTCTATTTAGTAAGCGTGTATTCGTCGAGCTCCCCTACAGGCCAAGTGCTGCGCTAGGCCCTGGGGACGGGCGATGAATCAGACTCGGCCTCTGCTCTCACAGAGCAGGTGTGCCAAGAGAGCTGAGGAGACGACTTCACCCAGCTGTGCCCGTGTATCAGCTGCTTTGATGACTGTACGAGATGTTTGCAAAGTTTGGGATGTGCTTCTAGCCTGATGTTACAATCTCATTTAAATTAAATTGGGAGACATTCGTGACTTGTATTTTATGTTTGAAACAAGTACTCACATAGAACTTTGTTATGTGCCAGGCACCATTCTAAACACTTCGTAACTATTATCTTATTTAATGCTCATAGCAAACTCTATGAGAGAGGTGCTCTTTTCTTTGTTTAAGGTTTGGGGACTTAGGGACATGGCAGGGGGCTAAGTCACTTGCTTGAGGTTACACAGCAGAGCTAGGGTCTGACCCAGGTAGTGTGGCCGCAGAGCCTGTGGTCCTAACCAGTGTGGTGTCAGTTATTTCTGCCTGTGCCAGGAATCATGCTTAGTGCTTGATTTGCAGAAAAAAATTTGAAGTTGTGGAAGAAATGAAGCTTAGAATTGAGTTTGCATTTGAATTTCTTTTTAAAGGCCAGTGCTCCCAGCAACACTGGAGACATTGATTTAGGACCTAGACACTAGAGAGAATATCTGGGGTGCCGTGTCTGAATTGTGCAGAGTCACAGATCCACGGAGGGTGGGCTGTCACAGGCATCCTTTGTTCTAGATATCGCATTCACCCATTCGTGGCATTTGAAAACTCACCAGACAAGTTGGCATAAAGTTTGCTTTGAAATGTCTGTGAGCACATCACCTTGTTTACCGTCTGTGATTGAACGGTGTGCTCTCTCACCCACTCCACATTGCTGAAGGGGGTGAAGGAGAAGTAAGACAGTTCAAAACGTGCATACCTAACACACCTAGCCTTCCCTAGCTGATCTCTGCCCCGCCCCTGAGATGGGGCCATGACACACGACAGTACTTTCTGGAGTTTTAGCAACGCTTCGTTTTTTGAGCCCCTGTGCTTCCCTTGGCTTGTTCCGCCCCCAGCGTGGGAACCCAAGTGACTGGACAGTTAAACATCAGCTCTAGCCTAGAAGGTTACAGGTTGGCACTGAAGAATATCCCAGGAATTCCAAGAACTTTCCAATTAAAGAAGGTCCCAAGTCCCAGCTGGTGAATTATCAAAGTGAATGATATACTCAAATAGAAATGTTTTGTTTTTAAAAATTATCATCTGCTTGTTGTTATTTCTTGGGAATTAGTTGTGCCCTTTTTAACTGCCGTCTTCTTAGAGGGGTCTTGCCGACTGCCCCAAGCGGAGTTAGTTACTCCTTTCCTTCCAGAGCCGTGAAATGCCCCCATTACTGTATTTATGGTATTTTATTGTGATAGTCTGGTTTTTGTATCTGTTTATGTGTTACTTGGCACAGCTATGGGTGGTTTATAAATGTTTGCTAAAAAAAAAAAGAATTTCTTCTCTTTCTCTCTTTTAAATTTCTGAGAAGATAACATAGCAAAGTATAAAGTATTGTGCATGTGCCTGTCTCTTACAATGAATTTATTAAAAGCTTTTTCAATCACTTAAAATCATAACACTATGTTATAAAGAATTCCAGCAATGCAGAAAAATACGAATATGAAAGTAAAGGCTTGCCAAGTCCTGCCACTCAGAAGTTAGATTGAGTTTCGCTACTGAGCTCACTGGGGACCCGGTGTGTGTCCCGCATGCCTGGTGGCTTTTGCACAGCGGCTGCTGTTCCTCCCCATCACCACCCCCTGCCCAAAGCCATTGATGTGAATGTAAGCATGTGCCAGATGTTTGCTTTTGACAACGTGAAACTTCTCTTCTTTGTTCTAGAACCTTCTATGACTGGATCACAGGGAAAAACCGTCCAAGCTCAGGAAGCCTAATCCAGGTGGTAACCACGGAAGGAAAGACGGAGCTTACCCCAGCATATTTTTAAGACTCATCTCAGTGCCTGCGAGGGGCCTGCTAGAAAAGTCACTAACCTATCTCAGCGTGGCCTCATCTGGCCCTGCGTTTTATGTAATTCTGTTCGTGGTACGAGATAGAGAGTCCTATTTTTCTCTCACCTAATGCGCATTTGCTCTCCTAGGGCAGGGTAATATGTTTATGTGAAATAAAAACATGTGAACGGAGGCCTACAGAGAGCATCGCCAATCTGTGTTAACTACGGAAGGAGGTCTCTGAGCAGCCCTAGCTATAGTGGTGTCATGTCGGATTGCTTTTGAGACTATCTGTCCTGGACAGTGGCTGTCATCTCCACGGGTTCAGTGATTGTTTGGTACTGGGGATGTTTCGAGGGCCGAGTTACGCTTATGTCATAGATGTAGTTTTTGCAGCCTTGAATTGAATTGTCTTAAAACTCCTTTTGTGGCATAAGCAAGATCCCATGGACTCTGTCCTGATATCCTTTTCCTGTGCAGTTGCCAAGTGTCCCCTGGCCTACAGTTAAATGTGCAAGAGAACTACTTGTGAGCATTTGGAGTGTTGTTTTCCTAATAAATGCGTTTCATTTATTGTGTTGTCTTCTTTAATCAAATGACATCTTAACAGCCGTCATACGTGAGTACACTAGAATCATGGGCTGCTGGAGGTCTTTTAATCTGCTGTTCTAGAAAGGGGGTGGGATTTAAATCCTGAAATAAGTTGTTTCAACACAGCAACATGGGCCCAAACCTGTCTCGGACAATATTGGAATCTGAGGGTGGTGGGATGGTCCTGTGCATTTAGAAGCAAGCAGCTTTCCACGTGGTGGATACAGGCTGTCCTGGCTGAGAACTAGTGATCTCATCTAACCTGGTCACTTTACAGATGAGGAAACTGAGGCCCAGACAGACACCTTGTCATTGCCAGTAATTGGTAGAACCAAGCCTAGAATCTCAGTCACCAGATGGCTGCTGTCTATAAAGACCTTGTATTTTCTTTTTTCTTTTTTTTTTTTTCAATGAGGTGGAATTCACATAAAATTAGCCATTATAAGGTGAGCAGTTGAGTGCCATTTAGCACATTTACAACAGTGCGCAGCCACCACCTCTGTCTAGTCCCAAAACATTTTCATCACCACAAAAGAAAATCCAGTGCCCTTTAAGCAGTTTCTCCCCATTCCCCCTTCCTGACCCCCTGGCAACCACCCATCTGCATTTTGGTTCTATGAATTAGATATATAAACGGAATCATACAATATGTGTCTGATTCCTTTCATTTTGCACAATGATTTCGATGCTCTTCCACAACTGTTGTAGGTATCAGTACTATATTGCTTTTTGTGGCTGGATACTATTCCATTATGTGTATGGATTGCAATTTTGTTGATCTGTTGATACACATTTGGGCTGTTTCTGCCTTTTGGCTGTGGTGAATAGTGCTGCTGTGCACATTCATGTACAAGCATTTGCGTACCTGTTTTCAGTGCTTTTGGAAATAAACATAGGAATGGGATTGCTCCATCCTATGGTAATTTCTAGGTTTATCTTTTTGAGGAGTCTCTTGATTCCCGTCACTATAGTTCAAGGCAATTTTATCCGAGTATTACAGGAAAGAATATAGGAGCTCAGAAAGGTAGGATTGATTTCTCAAAAGTTACCCAGCTAGAGAACTGCACTGCTGGGACTGCAGCACCAGTCCAGCTGGTGACAGCACCCTGCACAAGTTACCCAGCACTGCACCTAACGTGTCCCTCCATCTGGTCCTCCTGTGAATACCTGGGATTGATGGTTCCCATTTTTCAGAGAAGAAACTGTCCCATATGCTAAATGACTTGCTGAGGTAGGTAGTTTCAGGAGAGCTGGTAGTCTTCATTCTATTTAGAAAGCACACCTGACACTTGGCTGTCGGGGTATGTTTCTTTTCCTTTCCTCAGGCCTGCATAGCCTGGTGATGTGCAAAGAGAGTAGAAGGGGAAAGGGGGCTAGGAAGAGGGGATTTTTTTCTCTTTAGCTGGTCATTCAACAAGTAATTTTTGAATATCAACTGTGTACCAGGCACTAACGTAGGTGCCTGGGACTTCTCATGAACTAAGACAAAGACCCCTGCCTTTAATAAATGAGTTTCATTCTCACGGGGGGACAGGGTGGCAGACAATAAACAATAAAGTAATATATTATGAGTACATTTTAGAGTATATGAAAAAGGTGAACTGTGGGAGAAAAAGAACAAGGTAAGGGGGTTAAGGAATGCTGGGGAGGGTGGGGTTGCAGTTTCAGATAGTGTTATGAACTGAATGTGTGTATACTCAAAATTCATATGTTCAAGCCCTAACCTCCAGTGTGGCTGTATTTAGAGATGGGGTCTCTAAGGAAGTATTAAATAATTTTAAGATTAAATGAGGTCATAGGGTAGGGCCTTGATCCGACAGGATTAGTGTGTTTATGAGAGGAGACATCAAAGAGCTCTCCCTCTTTGTTTCCATGTGTATGTGCTAAGGAAAGGCCATGTGAGGACATAGTCAGAGGGCAGCTGTCTGCAAGCCAGGAAGAGAGCCCTCACTAGAAATCGAATTAGCTGTAGTCTCAGTCTTGGACTTCAGCCTCTAGGACTGTTAAGAAAATAAATTTGTGTTGTTAAGCCAGCCAGTCTGTGCCATTTTGTTATGGCAGCCCAAATTATAATAATACAGACAGTTAGAGAAGACCTCATGTGAGGAGGTGCTATTTGAGAAACTCTTAAAGAAAGTGCAGACATCAGCTGCTTGAATATCTGATGTGTTTTAAACAAAGGAACCAGGCTTGCAAAGGCCCCAAGACAGCAGCGTGCAGGTATGGTTGAGGAGCACAAGGAGTCCATTGTGGCTGTAGTGGAGCCAATAAAAGGAACAATTTTGGGAGATTAAGATCAGAGACAACTGTGTAGGGCAGGTGTTCCCAAACTTTCCAGTCCCATGGTGCCCTTAGTGTCTCAGTAATTTTTATGATGCTCCTATGTCAAAGAAAATACCTAATGGTTTGGTTTTATAAGTTAGGTCCTAACAATTTGATAGTAGTGATCTGACTCATATTGCTATGCTAATCTAGAAAATTGAATATGCCCTGTAGTGTCCTTTGAATTCACTGTGCTGCCCTGGGGTGCCTTGGCACACAGTTTGGGGATGGCAGATGTAAGGTGGTGTTGGCCATTTTAAGGACTTGGTTTTGAATTTTGGGAGGCATTGCCAGGATTTGGGACAAAAGAGTAATTTGATATATTTTAAAAGATTGCTTTGGCTGTTGTGTTGAGGATAGTACTGAGGCTATTGCACTAATTCAGGCAAGAAATGACAGTGCTAAGGGTGGAAGTGTTGGACGTGGTGAGAGGAAAGTTAAATAGTGGTGTATGTTTTAAAGGTAGAATCAGGAGGATTTCTTGGTGGGTTTAATGTAAGGATGAGGGAGAAAGGAGTCAATGATGACTCCCAAAGTTTTGAAATGAGCAAAAGGAAGGACTGAGTTAGCAAATGTGTTAGAAAAGGCTGTGGGTCAGGCACAGTGGCTCACACCTGTAATTCTAGCACTCTAGGAGGCCAAGGCAGGAGGATCACTTGAGCTCAGGAGTTCGAGACCAGTCTGAGCAAGAGTGAGACCCTGTCTCTACTAAAAATAGAAAAATTAGCCAGGCGTGGTGGTGCGTGCCTGTAGTCCCAGCTACTCAGGAGGTTGAGGCAGGAGGATCGCTTGAGCCCAGGAGTTGGAGGTTGCGGTGAGCTATGATGATGCCACTGCACTCTACCTGGGGTGACAGAGCAAAACTCTGTCTCAAAAAAAAAAAGGAAAAAAGAAAGAAAAAAGAAAAGGCTATGGATACAGCTAGTTTTGTTGGGAGTATCTGGAGTGTAGTTTTGGACATGTAGGTTTGCTCTGTTAATGTCCCAGTGGAGATGTCAAATAGGCAGTTGTATTGAGTCTGGAGTTCAACAAAGAGAGAGATCTGGGGTGATAGATAAACACTTGGGGGCCCTGAGCATGTCAAACTATGAGACTAGATGACGTGATACAGGAATGTGTCAGGGTCTAGGAGACAGAAGCCACATGGTAATGTGAACGGGGCAAGTGTGATATAAAGAATTATTGAGTAGCAAGGATGAACTATACAAGGCTAATGAGAACTCTGAAGCATACCCTTGGGCTGAGGGAGAGAACTCAACGAAGGACAAGGCTGGGATCTGGACCTCATTGGAGGAAGTTTGGTTGTGGTTCCCTGGATGGCAGAGTTTGCCGGGTTGGCTGGGCCAGCACTGGTCTACAGACACTGAGGAAGCAGGAAGCACCCTGCCACAGTGCATGTGGCCCAAGGGTGGGAAGCACCCCCACTGGGGCACTTTTTTTTTTTTTGAAACAGAGTCTCACTCTGTTGCCCGGGCTAGAGTGCCGTGGCGTCAGCATAGCTCACAGCAACCTCAAACTCCTGGGCTCAAGCGATCCTCCTGCCTCAGCCTCCCGAGTAGCTGGGACTACAGGCATGCGCCACCATGCCCGGCTAATTTTTTCTATATATTTTTAGTTGTCCAATTAATTTCTTTCTATTTTTGGTAGAGACGGGGTTTCGCTCTTGCTCAGGCTGGTCTTGAACTCACAATCCACCCGCCTCGGCCTCCCAGAGTGCTAGGATTACAGGCGTGAGCCACCGCGCCCAGCCTGGGGCACCTTTGAGACTCACAGGGAATCCTGTGCACAGAGTTACTGCTGAAACTCAATGGGAAGCCATCCATAGGGATACTGCTGGACGTTCCTCACCTGCACATGGTAGCCCCTTGGCAGGAGCAATATGGAAGCACATCACAACCTGGCAGGGGGGAGTCCCTTTCTCCTGTAGTGTTCCTTCAGCACCCTCTGTTGGCAAAACTGAACATTGTGTCAGGTGTGCAGGAAAAATGCATACAGGGTCCAGCTCCATTATTGCAGAATAGGCAATGAAGACTGGCTTTGGAGCAGAAAGACAAAGAATTGGTTAACTGGCAATACACTAAATATGTGCAGAGAAGAGAAGTTCAGGGACTGAGCTCGCCAAGAGATCAGGAGGAAGAGAAAAAAAAATCAACAAAGAGTACTGAGAAGGAACAAGCAATAAAGCAGGAGAAAAACTAAGAATGTGGTGTCCTAGGAGCAAAGTGAGAGTGTATCAAGAAGGAGGGAATGAATAGCAATGTTGAATGCTGTTGAGAAGTCAAATGAGAAGAAGGCTAAAAACTGACCATTGGACTTAGCCATGGGGAGGTGATCGTGACAAGCAGTTTTGGTAGAGTAGTGGGGGTAAAAGAAGATTTGAGGCTGGGTGTGGTGGCTCATGCCTGTAATCCTAGCACTCTGGGAGACCAAGGTGGGAAGATCACTTGAGCTCAGGAGTTCGAGACCAGCCTGAGCAAGAGTGAGACCCCGTCTCAATTAAAAAAAAAAAATGATTTGAGTGGGCTTATAAGAACACGGAAGGAGAGAAGTTGGTGTACAGACAACTTTAACTCAGTTTAGGTATTTGGTTGGAATCTTCTAAACTTCATCCTGGAACAGAATTGGGAAAACCGTACCAGGCTTTTGGATCTGCTTTGTTTTCATAGATACGAGTTATT